CAGCCATCATTGTTGTTTGGCAGGCCCGGGCTGGGGATTCGAACCCGCCACCTTAGGTGTATGTGGCTGGTGCCTTAGCTGCTTGAGCCACAGGCGCTGAGCCGGAATGGCATATTTTTAATATTTCCAGATGGCTGTGAGGAATTGAGGTTCCTCAAAGAGGGATAAAAAAACTATTGGAAAGATTGGCCTAGCACTTTGTATGGTTCCTTTACAATCTTATCCTTGCAGTATATAAAGAATGTCACTTTCTTTTTTTAAGAATGCCACTCTGTGACAAACCCAAAAACCTCAAGACATTTTAGGACCTTGAGAAAAGAAAAATTCACTCAATTTGTACAGATACATGTAACTGTAAGTTTTCAGACTTTTGGTGTTATGGTCCATTACTTCACTTCTAAGAAACACAGGCAATGGTGTTCTTTCCTGTTTCACCTTTGCAAGTTTTACCTTGCTCAGCTTATCAGTGTTGTTGCATTTTTGTTTGTGTTTGAGACAGAGTCTCACTGTCACCCTCCGTAGAGTGCTGTAGTGTCATAGCTCACAGCATCCTCCAACTCTTGGACGCAAGCAATTCTCTTGCCTCAGTCCTCCCAAGTAGCTGGGACTACAGGTGCCCACACCACCAGGCAATTTTTTAGAGGTGAAAAAAATAACTGGGAAGGAAAAATTAACTGCTTAAACCCCAGATTCTGAGGTTGCTGTGAGCTATGATGCCATAATACTCTACCCAGGGTGACAGTAAGACTGTCTTAAAAAGAAAAATACCTAACCCTCTCAGACTGATGGATTGCTTGAGCTGAGGTGGAGACTAGCCTGACCAAGAACAAGACCCCATCTACTAAAAATAGAAAAATTAGATGGGGACTGTGGTAGGTGTTTATAGTCCCAGCTACTTGCTGTGCTGAAGCAGGAAAATTACTAAAGCCCAAGAGTTTGAGGCTACTGTGAACTATGATGATGCCAAGGTACTCTACCCACAGCAACGGAGACTATCTCAAGGAAGGAAAAAAAAATCTCAAACATTTCATAACATCCAGCACATTTGAATGCTATGGCAGTCAACTTAGAAATCCTTGACTTGGCTCGGCGCCTGTGGCTCAACCGGCTAAGGCGTCAGCCACGTACACCTAAGGTGGTGGGTTCGAATCCCCAGCCTGGACCCGCCAAACAACAATGATGGCTGCAACCAAAAAATGGCCGGGCGTTGTGGCGGGCGCCTGTGGTCCCAGCTACTTGGGAGGCTGAGGCAGGAGACTCGCTTGAGCCCAGGAGTTGGAGGTTGCTGTGAGCTGTAATGCCACGGCACTCTACCGCTACTTGGGAGGCGGAGGCAGGAGACTCGCTTGAGCCCAGGAGTTGGAGGTTGCTGTGAGCTGTGATGCCACGGCACTCTGCCCAGGGGGACAGCTTGAGGCTCTGTCTCAAAAAAAAAAAAAAAAAGAAATCCTTGACTTAGTTTATGACAGAAACTAATCTTAGTATTTTAGATTTCATTTTTCATTTTATTTGAGACAGTCTCAAGCTGTCGCCCTGGGTAGTGCTGTTGCATCACTGCTCACAGCAACCTCAAACTCTTGGGCTTAAGAGCTCCTCCTGCCTCAGCCTCGCAAGTAGCTGGGACTACAGGCACTTGCCACAATGCCTGGCTATTTTTTGGTTATAGTTGTCATTGTTGTTTGCTGCGCCTGGGCTGGATTCAAACCTGCTAGCCCTGGTGTATGTGGCTGGCACCTTAGCCACTTGAGCTATAGGCACTGAGCCTAATCTTAGTATTTTATACCTAACTGTAAAGAGGTACAGCTGGACACAAACTGTGATGATTATTTATGTGAGACATTTAATATTTTTGTATAGTTCTGTTTTCAGAGACCAAACAATATTTTTATTTGCTTTCAATTATTTTATTGTAATTCTTCAGATAAAACCAGACAGTTGTACAAGATAAAGTTAAAGGTATCTATCTAATTGTCCCACAAGTGCCCCCAAATTTCTAGGTGAGTTTTTTTCTCCAATGACTACAGCTGCTCACACAGGTTAATACAGGAAAGAAGTTCTTAGAATCTGCTCAGCACCAGCTAGAAGACATCCTTTGTGACAGCAAAATCCTGAAATTTCATAAAAGGGACACATATTAAAAGAATGTGGTCAACTGGTAGTAAAAATATGAAGGTGGACACATTCGGAGGCACCAGACAGGATGGAAGGGAGGCTATGAGTGGATCAGGTGGTTTCAAAGTTCCTCAGAGAAAAGCTCAGAGACTCTAGTCCAACCAGGTCATCATTACCACTCTGGAGTTGGAAACCAAAAGGACACTCACCACAGCAACCAGGGAGAAAGGGCATGGCTGTCCACCGGTCACAGCCTGAAGGTCAGTAGTAGAAACCATCATCTAACCACCACAGCCAAGTCCCCATGGGAGTGGGATCCAAACTTTAGGCCTGTGGCCATAAGGTTAGTGCAGTATCTGTGAAGGAGCACTGCCCCTGGCTGAGCTTCCAAAACTTTCCTTCTAGAAAAGAGAACCACCAATGAGAACAACCAACGTTAACAGCCCTCTCCCTTTAGTTCCTCTAAGAAACCCCAAGTATCCAGTTCCCTAAATGAGTCAGAACTTCATTTTGACATCAGGACCAGTGTCAGAGACTCTAGTCTGTAAAATCATCATTCCCAATTTAGGGAGATCTGGATCAAGGGAAGATATTCAGGAAGGAATGTAGTACATTCAAAACAGTTCCAGTATGTAAAATCTAACAAATTAAGTCCAGGCAGGGATGTTAAGTTTGAGAGGGAAAGAGGAGGAAATAATCCAGAACTATAGTGAACATTCCTGAGAGGCTCCAGTGTACTCCTAAGTTTACAGTACAAACACGGGGGAAGGAGGCATATTAACCAAGCTTAAATAATGTTAAAATACAATAGTCACAAGGCAACCAAAAAATGGTCTTTTTGGATGTAAGTGGGGTTCACACCTGTAATTATAGTACTTTATGTGGCAAACACAGGATAACCACTTGAGACCAGGCTAGGCAACAAAGTGAGACCCTTACTCTAAAAAGGAAATGAAAGCTTGGCTTGGTCCCCATAGCACAGTGGTTATAGTGCCAGCCACATATACCGAGGGTGGCCGGTTGGAACCTGGCCCAGACCAGCTAAACAACTGCAAAATAAATAAGAAAGCAAGCTAGGGGCATGCCTGTAGTTCCAAGTACTGGGGGAAACTGAGACACAGTGCTTTGGCCCAGGTGTTGGAGGCTGTAGTGCTATGTATGACCATGGCACTGTACTCCAGCCTACTTCCCAAAACTAGACACTGCCTCAAAAACAAATAAATAGGCTGGGCACCTGTGGCTCAAGTGCTGGCCACATACACCTGAGCTGGCTGGTTCAAACCCAGCCCAGCTCACCAAACAACAACGACGGTTGCAACCAAAGAATAGCTGGGCATTCTGGCGGGCACCTGTAGTCCCGGCTACTTGGGAAGTGGAGGCAAGAGAATCTCAAGCCCAGGAGTTGGGGGTTGCTATGAGCTGTGATGCCTCAGCACTCTACCCAGGGCAACAACTTGAGGCTGTCTCAAAAAATAAATAAAAAATAAAAGTGGGCCAGGCACGGTGGGGCTTGCATGCAATCCTAGCACACTGGGAGGCAAAGGAGGGTGGATTACTTTAGCTCAGGAGTTCAAGACCAGGCCTGAGCAATAACGACTCAGTCTCTAAAAATAGCCAGGCTTGCAGTCCCAACTACTAGGGAGGCTGGGACAAGAGAATCACTAGAGCCCAAGAGTTTGAGGTTGCTGTGAGCTATTGCCATGGCACTCCACCCAGGGGGACAAAGTTAGACTGCCTCAGAAAAAAAAGTGCTTTGAAATATTTCATTGATGTATGTGTTCATTAGAAAATAGGTAGATCTCCATAATAGCCCATTAGCTGTTAACAAAATCAGAGCCACTCGAGAAGCTCTTGTAACCGATACTCACCTTTATTCAAGGATAACACACTGATGGACGTCTTAAAACTCCTAATGGGGAAACGAGATACAGGAACTTAAGATTAATAAGAGCCCCAGGCAATCAACTTCTCCCCGAGCTGAGATCTAGGGATCCTGACCCGGGGAGCGGTCAGCGCGCTGCGGTGATTGGCATCAGCGAGACACTCAGTCACCCGGGGTGGTCATCATGCCCGTCCTCCCCCAGGCCGACCGCCAGTCGATCGTGATCACTAGTGCAAACCACTCACCATCATGGTGCTGTGAGGATCAGAAGCTTGGGAAGAGGGCAGCGCCTGTGCCACAGTGGGTAGGGCGCCGGCCCCGTATACCCAGGGTGGCGGATTCGAACTCGGCCCCGGCCAGCTAGAACAGCAGTGGCAACTGCAACAAGACCGTCAAGCATTGTGGCGGGGGCCTGTAGTCCCAGCCACTCGGAAGGCTGAGGCAGGAGAACCGCTTAAGCCCAGGAGTTGGAAGTTGCTATGAGCTGTGACACCACAGCACTACCGAGGGCGACAGAGTGAGACTCTGTTGTCTCAAAAAAAAAAAAAAACCCACAAAAAACGAAAAACTTGGGAAGAAACCAAGCAGAGGCCGGAGCGACTCCAATGAGTTTCCCGACCTCAGCTAGGTCAGTTCCAAGCAATGGCCTCAGGAAAATATAAGAAACTACTCTGCAACGGTAGTATACTCAGCTCAGCCGAGGTCAGCTGTGCTTCCCCCAGGCGGCTCCGAGGTACCTGTACACCCACTGCTGTGCAAAGCCGGCGCGGGGCCTGCCAACTGCCCTTGCTCAGGCTCCGCAACTGAGGCGACGAAAACACTAAGTAACACACGACTATCACCAAACAGCCCACCACCCAAAGAGAAAGAGACTGACTCCGGCCTGGGCTATTTATGGCTGCCCTGAGTCGGGGGCCTGACGGGTATGGCTGTCTTCTTGCCTGCCTGTCTTGACGCGCATTTTCCCCCCCATCGTTCGTCCAAATAGGAACAAAACAAAGTGAAAAGAAGGCCATGAAAGTATGTGTCACACTACTCTGGGCAAATATTTGGAGATGTGAATTTTGAAAAACATAAAACACGATGATCTGGCAGGCCAGGCAGGAGAAAGACCCGGCTCCGGACGACAGGCGCGAGCTAAGCACCCCTTGGTGGGCTGGTAGTTTCAGTAACCGTTATCGCGGGAGCTTGGTCTGCGTCCGATTCCCCTGACCCCTCGGACACCCCAGCTCCGTACACCCGGCGAAATCTTTATTTGCTCCCCTGCTGGAGCAGGCAGATTGCCAAGCACCTTAAGTTTCATGTGTTTTGTTAAGCAGCTTTATATAGATATAATTGACGTGTAATAAACTCTGCATGTTCCAAGTATGCAATTTGGTACTTTTTTTTTTTTTTTTTTTTTTACTATCTTACCTCTTCTAAGTGTACGTTTCGGAAGTGTTAAGTATATTCATATTGTTGTACAACGGATCTCCAGGACTTTTTCAACTTGAAAAACTGAAATGCGAGGGCCGGGCGCGGTGGCTTACTCTTGTAATCCTAGCTCTCTTCAGAGGCCAAGGTGTTTTGCCTGAGCTCACAGGTTCGAGACCAGCCTGAGCCAGAGCGAGGACCCCCCCCCCATCTCTAAAAACAGCCGGACGTTGTGGTGGGCGCCTGTAGTCCCAGCTACTCAGGAGGCCGAGGCAAGAGGATCACTTGAGCCCAGGAGTCTGAGGTTGCTGTGAGTTGTGACACCACTACTCCACCAATGGTGACAATGTGACACTGTCTAAAAAAAAAAAGAAAACGGAAGCTGTGCTCATTAAACAACTCTCCATTTACCTGTTTTATGGGTTTTTTGTTTTTTTTTTTAGCAACTTGTGGTTTGGGCTAAAAGAGGATGGAATTAGTAACTTTTATTTTACAATAAAGGCTGACCATCATTACAATAGTTATTATTATTATTATTTTTGAGACAGAGTCTTACTATGTTTCCCTCAGTAGAGTGCGTGACATCACAGTTCACAGCAACTTCAAACACTTGGGCATAAGCGATTCTTTTGCTTCAGCCTTCCAAGAAGCTGGGACTACAGGCACCCACCACAATGCACGGCTATTTTTTTGTTGTAGTTGTCATTGTTGTTTTGTTTTAGCAGGCCTGGCCTGGGTTCAAACCTACCACCCTCAGTGTGTGGCCACCGCCATAACCACTGTGCTATGGATGCTTAGCCACAATAGTTTTTCAGTAAGGCCAAAAACCTCAATCTCTCTGCCTGCCTTATTTCTCTTGCTAGCAGCCCCCCTTATTTCTTTTGCTAGCAGGTTATTCTGCAATGACCTGATGGCCACAGGCCTAAGGTTTAGAGCCCACTCCCATGGGGACTTGGCTGTGGTGGTTAAATGATGGTTTCTACTACTGACCTTCAGGCTGTGACCGGTGGACAGCCGTGCCCTTTCTCCCTGGTTGCTGTGGTGAGTGTCCTTTTGGTTTCCAACTCCAGAGTGGTAATGATGACCTGGTTGGACTAGAGTCTCTGAGCTTTTCTCTGAGGAACTTTGAAACCACCTGATCCACTCATTGCCTCCCTTCCATCCTGTCTGGTGCCTCTGAACAGTGTCCACCTTCATATTTTTACTGCCAACTGCCTACGTTGCTTTAATATCTGCCCATTTCTGTTTTCACAAACTGCGGGGGAGCCCTATAGACCAAAAGGAAATGTAAAGTAAATTCTTCCTCTTTGTATTTCACCAGCTCCTTTGCCTTTTAGAATTTGTTTCAGTAGTCTCTAGTGATTCCTCTGGGTGCCCCAGGAACAAAGGGATGTGTCTCCAATCTTGCCAGAGGAAAAATGGACAGAGCATTCACATTCACAATACCTTGAGAATTCGACTCCAGTCACCTTTTTTGTCCCTCAACTGCAGGCATTCTCCCTTTCTTTCTTTGGGATACCTCATCATTTCTCTCTCTCTCTCCTTCTAAAAGATAAAATAAACTTATACTTTTATATCCTAATCTTAGCCTAGAGAAAATCTTTTCTCCTCCCTTGCTGAGCACTACTGAGTTTTTCCAAGCGTATCGTTTTCTCAAGGCTTCAGTCTTCCTTCAAAAGAATCTCCAAGGATCCTATATTCTTTATTTGTTTATTTGATGCATTTCTCAGCTTCTAGGTGCCAGTTCCTTCTGGGGCTAATGTTGCTAAGTGATTGTTTTTAAGTTCCAACATGTGTATGTGAACAGGTAGACTATTACTTCTTATATATTTAGATATTGCTTCCTAATGAAATCTTCCTTTTGAGAAAGTCACGAATTTGGCTCGGCACCTGCCACATACATCTAAGGTGGCAGGTTCGAATCCAGCCCAGGCCCGCCAAACAACAATGATGGCTGCAACCAAAAAATAGCCAGGCGTTGTGGCAAGTGCCTGTGGTCCCAGCTACTTGGGAGGCAGAGGCAGGAGACCTGCTTGAGCCCAGGAGTTGGAGGTTGCTGTGAGCTGTGATGCCAGAACACTCTACCTAGGGGGACAGCTTGAGGCTCTGTCAAAAAAAAAGAAAAAAGAAAGTCATGAATTTAATTGACCCAGTCTTAGGAATTCTTTTTTGGCCCATTAAACTTGCTAGAGATTTTTCCTTAACTTCTATCATTCTTACTGTTGTCACTGAGGCCTTTCAAGCCTTCAGGTTCCAGTTCAAAGCAGAAAGCCTCTTATCACCAGCAGCACTGATACTTTCCCACACTCCCTCTCCCAAGACACTATCCTCCCAAAAATAAAATCAGGAGGCTCCGCGCCTGTGGCTCAAACAGCTTAGGCGCCAGCCACATACACCTGAACTGGTGGGTTCAAATCCAGCCTGGGCCCACCAAACAACAATAACGGCTGTAACCAAAAAATAGCCAGGCATTGTGGTGGGCACCTGTAATCCCAGCTCCTTGGGAGGTGGACGCAGGAAACTCGCTTGAGCCCAGGAGTTGGAGGTTGCTGTGAGCTGTGACATTATAGTACTCTACAGGGTAACAGCTTGAGGCTCTGTCTCAAAAAAATAAATAAATAAAATAAAATCAGGATTAGCCCCTGGTTCTATCTGCAGGGTTGGGGAACCTATCACCTTAAGGCCATGTGTGGCCCTCCAAATCTCCAAGTGTGGCCTCTCAACTGAATACAAACTTCACAGGAAAAAAATCCCTTTATTAAAAGGATTTGTTCTGTAAAATTTGTATTCAGAGCACACTTAGCCCCTCACCATGTGATGTCTACACCACTTCTATCATTACTAACATGAAGGAAGGCCCTCATCAGATACGCCTCCTTGACTTTGGACTGTCCAGCCTCCAAAACTATAAGAAATAAATTTATTTTCTTATAAACTAGGTATTATGTTATAAGCAACAGAAAATTGATACTAAGGAGTGGGGTTGTTGCTGATAACAAATATCTGAAAATGTGAAAGTGGCTTTGGGATCGGGTTATGGACAGAAGCTGGAAGAATTTGTAAGAGCAGTCTGGAAAAAGCCTAGATTTGGACGGCGCCTGTTGCTCAGTTGCTCACCAGCCCCATGTACTGAGGGTGGCAGGTTCGAACCCGGCCCCGACCAAACTACAACAAAAAATAGCTGGGTGGGGCAGTGCCTGCGGCTCAGTGGGTTCGGCGCAGGCCCCATATACTGAGGGTGGTGGGTTCAAACCCAACCCCGAACAAACTGCAAAAAAAAAAAAAAAAAAGAAATAGCTGGGCATTGTGGCAGGCACTTGTAGTCCCAGCTACTTGGGAGGCTGAGGCAGGAGAATCACCTAAGCTCAAGAGCTGGAGGTTGCTGTGAGCTGTGATGCCACAGCACTCTATCAAGGGTGATAAAGTGAGACTCTGTCTCTAAAAAACAAAAAGAATACAGGGGCAGTGCCTGTGGCTCACAGGAGTAGAGTGCTGGCCCCATATGCCAGAGGTGGCAGGTTCATACCCAGCCCCCGCCAAAAACTGCAAAAAAAAAAAAAAA